CCCCCCCCCCCCCCCCCTTTCATATATTTATGATAATATTGTTTATCATATTGTACCTGTTTTTGGTTGCTTGTATAATAAAGAAAGGTTGAATTTAATTTAAAAACAGGCATAAAAGTTTAAATGTTCAATATCTGCCATAATATAAAAACAATAATCAAAACCTATGCTAGAAAATAACATATAGTATATCTCATTTTATAAATCTGCTCTAATTTGGATGTTCTAACGTAGTCTAGAATGAATGAATAAATAATTAAATAAATAAATTTGGATGTGTGGGTAACCCAGAATTTCTATTACTGCATGCCTGCAAATTACATAGTTATTTATTTATACCTAATTTATCTTTCATGATCAAACTTTCCATTTTGATCTATAGATTGAAGTCTAAATTGATTAAATTGTAAGTTTAAGTTTTAGTGTGAATGCAGTTTTTTAATTAAAACAAATAAGACAAAACAACTAAATTAATTATCAGAATTTGTGCAATAGTGCATCCCTTAAAAATATTTTTTTTTCTTATGTTTTATTTCAAATTTTTTTATTATTAGATTTTCTGCATGGAATATCAACTCAACAAATTACAACATTAATTTTATACAATTATTCTTCCATGTTATTACTAATACTACCCCACTAATACTTCCCTCCCTTTTCCAGAGGAGAAAAAAAAAGAAAGTAATAAATAAATACATTTTAATAATAATAATAAAAAAAAATGTAATGCTTTGTTTAAAAAAACAAATAAAAATTGTATGTTTATATATATTAATGCTCAGCTTAAGTATCAAGCCAGCAGATAATCTAAAAAGGGGCGCCACACCTTGTCAATGTCACTCACGGGTTCGTTAAAGACCAGTCTAATTTTTTCCAATTTAATGCAAGTAAACACTTCTTTTAGCCATGTATCAAAAGAAGGGGGTGAGACGTGCTTCCACTTTAAAAGGATGAGACGTCTTGCTAGTAAAGTAGTAAAGGCTAAAGCCTTTTGAACCGTTACTGAAATGTTAACATCTACTGCCAACCCAAAAATGGCCAAAAGTGGATTTGTATCGATATCTATGTCGAAGGCATCTTTCAAAGTTTTAAATATTTTAGTCCAATAATCAAATATTTTATTGCATTCCCACAACATGTGAATGAGGTCTGCTGGTGATTGCTTGCACCTATTACATGCATCGCTGACAGAGGTGTATATTTTGGCAAGTCTAGCATTAGTATAGTAAACCCTATGCAGAATCTTACATTGTATAAGCCCATGCCTTGCGCATATAGATGAGGTGTGATGAGTTTGTCTTATGTTTTAACATTCAGCAGCGAAATGGTATGCATACCATACTCATTTATTTTTATGTGTAAAAAAAGTATCCTTAATGTGCTAAATGCTCTTAGATCAATTCAGATCAGTTTATAAAAAACAACAACAACAATCTACACTATAGATTAAAAAGTGATAGCATATATTTTTTTTCTATTTTCCTTTTATGTCTAAAAAAATACATCTAAAAATAAACATCTGGGTGGAGAAGGAGAGACTGTGTTACTCAGTCTTAATTTACAACTGTCAGATCTTAAATTAGAATAGAGAAATGAGAGGGGAGAGCCGTACTTTTTATCCACTATAGTGGATGGATTTGCAGCTAGTCTGTTCTTGAAAGATAGACTTACAAAGACTAGATACAATTATTTGTTATCAAGTCAACCAATAAATGCCACTATTTGGTGGATTTTTTTTTAAACAATGTTGTACTGCTGTGCCTTCAACAAGAAACAATAGTTATCAATAAGTAACAAAACTTGTTTGATATATTGTTTAATAAGTAAACATTTTTATGTAACAGCCAGTTTTTCACAAGTGAGAAATATGCAGTATTTTATGTTATACTGTTAGACATTACCATGAAACAAACATGTAAATGTGTGACTATTTAGATGTTTTAATCAAATCACTTGTATTGATAGTGTTCCTTTGGAAGTTGACTGAGACCTATTGTGGGCCTTCATCCACTTATTTGGTGAATGCACTTACCGAGCAGTCGCACCAGAGTACATTTTAATCTAACCAAACCTGCCAAGTGTAAACAAACCCAGTTAATCTCTAAAAAGACCTGAACATTTGCCAAACTTATACTGGGTGAATTAGACCAGATGTCTAGGTGTATGTGTCCAGGAAACTCTGAAATCTGCAAAAGCAAGTTTGGCAGGATCAGAGGATTTAAACATTTGTTTTTATCTCAGATATCTAGTTTTCATAAAGCACAAATAGACTTTTGCTGTGCGTTGTTGCTGTGGTTTATATTTTTGTAGCGCCTTTCTAAAAGTCAAGGCTGCTTTACAAAGTTAAAAAAAAATTGACAGATAGCAAACAAAGTACAATTCACAGACCAAAATCTTTAAGAGAGCAAATTAAGTTCACTGTGCTTAATTGGTGTTTACCAGGTTTCTGTGAGCAACATCAACAGAGATAAGGTCCCGGAGAAAAGTTATTTTACCAGTTAATGGACGAATGTTTGTAGCGCAAAATAGCCATTGTTAATGGTTGGATGAATAGCCATTAGCCATTGTTAATATAACACTAGCAAAATAGCCTTTGTTGATGTAATCGGTTAAAAGTCATCTTTAATGTTATGTTTTTTCAGGATGTCAGGATGGCAAGTGGCCCTGGCTTGCCTGACAGCTTGGTGCTGGAAATCTTCTTGCATCTCCCTCATAAGGCAGTGCTGAGCGCAGGGTTCACCTGTCGTCAGTGGTTTGCTGTGTCGCGGGATGAATTCCTCTGGAAGGAGCTCTTCTACAACTACTACTGCATCCCACGCTCGGTGCCTCGCCACCCTGGTACTGTAGCTGGAGCTGAACTTTTATATAAACTGCATCATAGGCAATGCATTCATGTGTAAAATAAATAAGCACACACCTTCACATCTGTGGCCAAAAGTGTTTATTTTGCGAAAACAAAGTGGAACACATGTGACCTTTTACTACTAATCCACTAAATAGTAAAAGACATGTGACAGTGCTTAAATTTTGCCACTTTCTTACCCTCTTCATGTATGAATGCCACACTGTGGCAGCACTACTTGCACCTTTTGAAATAACTGTGCTTTTCCTGCGTGTGTGCAGCGGCTGAGTCGTGGTACAGGGAGTTCAAGCGGCTGTATGACTGCATTCCCTGTGTGGAGGTTCAGACTCTGAAGGAGCATCATGATCAGGTCCTGCATTTGGCTTTCTCTCACCGTGGACATCGCTTCTCTTCCTGCTCCAAAGACTGTACCGTTAAGGTAAGACTGCCTACTGTTTGCTTCATAAAGATGAAAACAAGATTAAATTTTTTGCATATGCCAGTAATAATAACATGCAATCTCTATGGTTATATGCAAAAAAAAAAAAAGACCATCTGGATAGTTGGCATGTCACAGTACTGCATAACACGGATGTTGTTCCACAAAATCTTTTCCTAGCACAAATAAGGACAGGTTATGCATTTAACAATTTTTCAAAGCAAATAATAGCAATTCTAACAAGGTCAGTGATATGACAATTAATTTTTTGTCCATCTCAAGGCTGATCAGAAGAAATGGACAGCCCCTGAGTTAAATATATGAGTGTCACAGCAAAGGGTCTGAATACTTAGGACCATGTGATATTTCAGTTTTTCTTTTTTAATAAATCTGCAAAAATGTCAACAATTCTGTGTTTTTCTGTCAATATGGGGTGCTGTGTGTACATTAATGAGGGAAAAAAATTAACTTAAATGATTTTAGCAAATGGCTGCAATATAACAAAGAGTGAAAAATTTAAGGGGGTCTGAATACTTTCCGTACCCACTGTATATTACCAAAAAATGCTATTCATATATGACTTAACTTCTGATATTATAATGAAGAAAAAAAATAATTCTTTGAAACAAAACCTTTTACATGTTGATAATCATAGAGAAAATCCCAGCAGACTGTCATGACGGTGTGTTGGGGTCAAAAATAACAGATAATTTGACATTTTTGTGTCAAGCAATGTTAGGCCCTGTCCACACGAACGCGGGTATTTTCAAAACCAGCTTTTTCTATGCGGTTTGGCCGTTCTTCCACACGCAAACGCAGCACTAGGATTTTTGAAAACTCCTGCCAGGGTGAAGATTTTCAAAAACTCCGTACAGTGTTATCGTGTAGACAGCGTAACCGGAGATTTTGGCTTGTGACATCGGAGCCTGCGCTGTTATCTCCGCTTACTGGAAAATTTTCAGGCTTCTGATTGGCCAACATGGCTTTACGGTTGAGATTATATCTCCACCTGTTGGTTTGGCATGCTCTTGAGAGCGCTTCATATTATGCGTTTGCGTTTTCATGTGGACAGAGATTTTTTTAAAAACAGAAGGATAAACTCTGTTTATAAAAATACCCGTGTACGTGTGGACATGGCCTTAGTTTAGGTTATGAAATGTTATGTGGTGCCACACCCCAAAAAAAGTAATGATATTTTAGTTATGATAATTCATAAGTTATGATATTTGAAGAAAATACATTTTACCTTGAAAAATTCATTTTTAAGATTTTGAAAATAATGGTTTTGATGTGCACATTCACGTTTCAGGTTGCAAGGAAATATATTTTACTTGACATTTTAAGTGTTATTAAACTTAAATATTTGTAAAAAAAATTGTTTTAATTAATGGTTTTTACAGCAAGATGAAACAAACGTGAAACAAAAAAACATTTTACTTTACATTTGTCTTTAAGACTTTTTTATTTGCCTTTTCTGAAACCACAGTTTCAGCATATGCATATACAACATTTAAAGGAGACCTATTATGCCCCTTTTTACAATATGTAATATAAGTCTCAGGTGTCCCCAGAATGTGTTTTTGAAGTTTAAGATCAAAATACCCCACAGATCATTTATTATATAATTTTGAAAATGCCTATTTTGTATCACGATAATTTTTCTTCATATCAGTCGATAACGATAATTATCACGATGAATGTCAAATTTAATTTCGTTTAAAGGCAGATTTTTTTTCTCCAATGTGAAAGTTGCGGTTTTAAACTATTCTTTATGCTCAGAACATGACAAACACTAATTCTTTACACTTTTCCAGTAATTTTTCCTTATCAAAATAAATATCTTAATAGAAAAAATTAATAAATTCTTAGTTCTGCATGTTCTAATAAGTAATATTATTTCAAATCAAGAAACAGGTTTGTGTTGCCTGATAATATTAATAATCAAATTTTTTTGTCTCTTAGAAATGCACATTTGATAGTAGCTTGAGTTAGGATGCAGATGTAGATCTATGTTCATTATCAAAGTCAGTAATATCTATAAAAATTGTAGCAATCTCATTTATATATGGTGAAATTTAATTATTCTGACTGTTTTTTTTTTTTTTTTAACCATTGGTCTTCTATAGAAGCATACACTTAGATCATGATAATCAATTAAAACCACAAATATAGCACTTCAATACTATGGTAAAAATATGGTAATATGGCTTCTAGGTATTTGTATGAAAAACAGTAGTCTAAATACATGTATAAATGCATAAATGCTATAGCTTAATCACAAAAAGTACTGTAACTATATTCCATTACTCCTCCTTCAATACATTTAATACATGACTGTCTACATTAATAAAAATATAATAAAATTCGACACGAATACCCACATTTCTGACACAATACTATGGTGCAGTTAGTGCTATGGTAAATGATGGTGATTTGTAGATTAAAAAGTCTTCTGACTGTATCGTTGCTCACAGTGTTTCTCCTGTTTGTCAGCGCTGTATCATCTGGCTGTAAACAGAGTTATTTGTGTTCTTCGCTGAATTCAAGAGCTTCACACTAGATCTGATAGCGCTGTTAAGTGTTCACGTGATCTAGAATCATCAGCGAGTAACTGCATGAAGCTCGCATCGCCTTTGCCGCATAAACATTTTATCGAACATTTATCGAACTCTTGTTATCGTATATAGAGGAAATTTATAAAGCACGATAATTATCGTTATCGATTTATCGCCCAACCCTACTATTTTGAGTGGAAGCAGAAACATGCTGTTTTCGTGCATGTCTCTTTAAATGCAAATTAGCTGTTGTTCCACGCCCCTTTTTCCAGAATTGGGCTGCGCCTGTCAAATACACACGATTATGTTAAAAAGTCTGTTATGCCGGTGAAGATAAACAGCTGGGAAAGAAATTGCATGTTTATTTTAGATCTGTGTGGCAGCAGCGTAATATACAATAAATAAATCCACTGCTCTCTTGTCTCCTCTGAGGCTGGGACTCTAAATAGTGTTCTGTACTCGTCAGTGCAGCCAAAGACAGAACAGCAACCATACTTTGCTCGAACTTTCGCTGTGGCGTTAGAACTGGTACACTGTTATTGCTTGCAAAAACAGAATGGCAGTGCCGTGGGTATAAACTTGCAGATTAAGGAGTGGTAATATTATAAGAAGATCCCTTTTCTATGTCACAGGTGGAGCAGAATTTGAGTGCCTCGTTTTTCACAAGCTTGCAGAAAAAGGCTTTCCAAAAAATTTACTGGGTTGTTCTTTTTCACATTTTTGGGTTGGTAGATACACTGGGGACCCAATTATAGCACTTAAACATGAAAAAAGTCAAATTTTCATAATATGTCACCTTTAGACTAAGTTTGATGATAAATAAATATAAAAATATATGATGATATTATTTTGATGATAAATAAATATAAAAATAATGTTATTTGTTATTCACTGAATAATAAAAATTCACACAATGTGCTTTTACAGGTTTGGGACACAGAACGATCAGATGGTACCATCTCTTTGATTCACAGCTCCAGCATGCGGCAGTTTAACTGGGGCTACACTCAGTTCTCCCAATTTAACGCCGATGACACACTGCTGCTGGTGTCAGGGGTATACCTGGGCCCACATCACTCCTCTTCTGGAGAGATTGCAGTCATCAGCTTGGGTACTGACAGACAGCTGTTACAAACACCAACTGCACACACCCACTGTAAATAAATTTCTGATTGATGTTGTTGTTTTGGATCCGTAGAGAACTACACTCTGCTGTCCCGTGTGAGAAATAAGCCATATGATGTGTTCGGCTGCTGGCTGAATGAGACTCACCTAATCTCTGGTAACCTGCACTGGATTGGCAACATGACCTCCTGCTCTGTGCTCTGGCTCAACAAAGCTTTCCAGGTCCAGATGTGTTCATTTCTCTAAGGTCTTAAAGTGATGTGCATAATGTAGTTGATGAATTGAAAAAAAAAAATTCCTACTGGCCATGAAATATGTTTTTCATTTCGTTAAACAATGTTTTACCCTGTGATAAAACAATGTTTTCTGTTCATTCCATAGACTTTGTCACAAAAAAATATTTCATTTTGGTTAATTAATTATAAGAATCTGTAGCCAAATTAAATTATGCCAATAACACACAAAAAACTAGCTAAACATCTAATGGGTATTGATTTATGTAGCTATTAGATAATAACTACTCACTCTGTGTTTCGCCTCTCCATGTTTAGGACATCGAGTCAGAAAATGTGAATGTGGTGAAGCGTCTGTTTAAGATCCAGAACATCAACGCCAGCACTATCCGCACAGTGATGGTGGCCCACTGCCGTCGACACGACTCTCCTGACCTCCTTCTGGACTATGAAGCTCAGTCAAAGGCTCAAGCTCAGCGGACACAGCAGCACCAGCCTCTCGTCTTTGATCTGGGAATCACAGACAGTGAAGAGGAGGAGGATGAAGATGAGGAGCGAGGAGAAAAAAGAGTGTCAGCACATCCGCCCTCATTTAACCTGCCCGGGATTCAGCATGTTATACATGTAATAACCATAGGGATCACTGCACCTACATTTTAAGCCACTCAAGATTTTCTTTTATATATATATATATATATATATCATTAGGAATTCCATTGTGTTTCCATTTTCAGTTGTAGACACATTGATCTTCTGGGAAAATGGGAAATTTTGTTTAATTTGTTTTCCATTTTTTTTTAATTTTCTTCCGCAACAAAAGCATTGGATTGGATATAGTGCAAGTTAAAATCATTAAGTATTATGCATAGTGATTTTGGATGTGCATCAATCGATGACTGCAAATATTCAAATATCAGTGAAAAAGATAATTTTATCAGCATTTATAAAACATGAAATCTGAATTGACATGATTTACATAAATGTTCCCTGAGCAGTTCATCTGTGCATGTTAATTGTGGAAACACTTTATAGTTTAGGGACCAATTCTCTCTCTTAACTAGTTGCTTATTATCATGCATATTGGTTGTTTATTAGTACTTATAAATCACATATTAATGCCTCATTTTGCATGACCATGTTTTAGATCCCTTAATCCTACCCCATATCTAAAGAACAACTACTTTACTATAGTTACTACTACAAGTAACTATTAATAATTCATTATTAACTATTAATAATTATAATAAGCAGCAAATTAGGAGTTTGAGGCAAAAGGTATAGTTAATAGTAAGAATTGATCCCCAAACTAAAGTGTGACCAAAATTGTTCATAATTTTTTATTAAAATGTAATAACTTTTTCAACTTCTGAAACAACTGCCACAAATGCAGCTGAAATTAAATATACAGCAATCAATATTATAGCAACAGATTAAACACGACTTTCAATAAGCCATGTTTTAAAAACATCTCTTCAGCTGTTATTGTCAGTTATATGTGCAGTTTCTGTATTTGCTGCCATTAGGGTCATCAGAGCATAGCTGCTCGTGAACGAGAGTTGGAGACAAAGGTGGCCAGGTTGATGGGCAGCAGACGCACCAAAGCTCCTGATCCAAACCTGGTGTCTCCCTCAGCTCCTGGAGAAGGAGAGGACAAGACCTACCTCCTCTTCACCACCGGCAGCCTTACCTACTCGCCTCACCAAATAGGTGAGCACGCGCTTATGTCTTTAATGGGATACTGTATGAATGATTACTTCACCTGCTAATTCCATAAATGCCCGGATTTCTGAATTGCTGTGTTTGTTTGTTTCAGGCATCAAGCGGATAATGCCTGATCAAATGACGACATGTGGTCCTGTGTTGGGAGAGGAGCGCAGTACGGATGAATTCTTCAACTCACTTGATCATGTGATTGACATACACGGCCACATCATTGGCATGGGTCTGTCACCTGACCATAGGTGTGTGTTGTGCAGCGGTAGAGGGCTAACTTTGCACTAATGCAGTTTACTCAGCAAGTTCATACAGCCTTTCAAATTCTAAAAAGAGAATCACTTTGTGTACAATATTATCTGTGGTGCTGTGAGTGATTACCAGGATGTTGCTCTTGTGTTTCTATGTGGTGCAAAGTCACACAGTTTTCCTCCAGGGGGCGCAAGCAGGCTTAGAAAGCTTCATCTTTTCATCTTATTAAGGAGCAGTAAGTAATATTGACAGCTAGCCATTAAAATGGGTACTGCAGTCCAAATTCAACATATTGGAGAGTGTTGTTTCTCCCGCCCCCTCTTCCTCAGACTCAGCAGTGTTTCCTAAATCTCTGGAAACATGTTATGGTATATTATTCTTAAGTAGAGTCAAAAAATGATATGCAGCACCTTTATAGGTACTTATAAAGTGTAATCATCGCAGTCTATTCATTTCCACTTAATCAGTCGCTACAATGTTTTAAATAAAATGCCTAAAAGGCCATGGAAATCATGGACAACAACTCCTGAAAACCCTGCTGAAATCAAAGCATTATCTTGGAAAATGGCAACCGTGTTTGTCTGTTCACAGGTACTTGTACGTAAACAGTCGAGCGTGGCCAGCAGGCTGTGTGATCTCTGACCCCATGTCCCCTCCACCCATCGCAGAGGAGATAGACCTGCATGTGATTGATCTGAAGAGTCTTAGAGAGGAACGCCGCAGCCTTCGAGCCCACCGGGCCTTCACACCCAACGATGAGTGCTTCTTTATCTTCCTTGACGTCAGCCGAGACTTTGTCGCCAGGTAATTTACAGCTCAGCCACCTGTGCACATTTTATTCGCAGTAGTGAACTGATTTTTTGGCCTGTTAACTAGTGCTCCAAATAACAGATGTTTGGAATATAGTACATGCTATAAACCAGAGTAAAGATGCACTAGAAGTAATTTAATCTTTCTTCTTAAATCAATTCTTTCACTGGCTGATACAACACTGGTCTTGAACTTTATACTGACAAGTAAACGGCATGGGTGCAGCATCAGGAAAATGTTTTTGAAAAGCAGGCTTTTTTATGTTGTGGGAATCCCATTGAGTGGATTACATTTGTCAAAGCATTTGAGTGCTTAATAACAGGAATGTTTGCATGACTAATTAAGCTTTTAAAGGTCATTGTAAGCTTGTAATTACTGTACATTCCGGTTTTGACATGATGAATGCATATATAAAAGGGAACATGTTTTTTTTTTCAGTCATATCAACAGTGCTAGATGTGGTAGTGATAGGTACCAGTAAAATATGGCTCCATAGTGTTATTTAAGCCAATAGAAATGACTAGACGAGCTGAAATTCTGCACCAGAATATCAGCAAGAATTTATAAACTCAGGACAACACAATAATACAGCTAGGTGATATGTCTGATATTTTTCAGACCTTTTGATGATATATGTATCTATTTAGGCATTGGCTTTGAAATGGCTTTAAAGAGTAGTATTTTTATTTTCGTCCTTTTTCATTTTGCAAGAAGAGAATTTTTGGTGTAAACGATTCTCAAAAACATTTTAATTTACTTCATATACCATAAGTAGGATAATCATTTTAAAATTTATTTAAGGCTGGAATACACTGCATGACAGATTTCACAGAACATTGTGTGGCGTATGACTGGCACAGACTGATTTTTTTATTTATTGTTTTGCTTAAAATTACAATTCCATCAAGCCAGAGGGTGTCAAACATGTTTTCATTTGTCTCTCGTCTTTAAGAATAAATTGCAATATTTGACACTAAATAACGGTTCATTGAACTTAATTGAAATGGATAATTTAACTGATCCACAGAAATGAATTTGAACTTCCCAATTTCGTCCACGTTTTTGTCACAAATATCTCTCATACTTACGAGTTATCATGCATTTTAAAATCATGGTAGCATTCACAATATTGATTATTTTTATATCCTGAACAAAATAATATTGGGTCAAATGTAAATTGCCTTGCCTCACACAGACTAATACTACTAAATTATTTGTTGTACTCATCTGAACCATCATTAAATGCTTGACCAACAAAATATCAAAACTATTGAGTCGTCATAACTGCCCAAGAAGTGTTAATTGTCTAATTTATGTAATTGTCTGTGTAGCGGTGCAGAGGACAAGCACGGTTACATCTGGGACCGGCACTACAACATCTGCCTGGCTCGCCTGAAACACGATGATGTGGTCAACTCTGTGGCCTTCAGCCCAGCAGACCAGGAGCTGCTGCTGTCTGCCAGCGATGACTCCACCATTAAAGTGTGGCGCTCGCCACGCATGGTGCGCCTCGCCGAGGCACCCCAGCACCCCCTTCGGTCTCGCAAACTGCTCTCCTCCTTGCTTGGCCGCAGAAGTGCTAATCTGAATGGTAAACCCTGACCTGTAATGCAAGAGGAAAACACCACAGAAGGACACTCCATGAGCAGAGGGACACGTGAGGTCAAGAAACTGAGGATTCCACAGTGGTCTCTTTGAGAAGAACAAGGATACTTGCATTCTTGTGTGACCCTTTTGCAGGATGTGCCGTGACCAACAGATAACTGGAAGATGAGAAGCAACAAAAGAAAATGGGCTCTTTGGAACTCTATACTGGTGAAAGATCGCTGATGCACATGAAAACGTAGGACACAGACATTAAGAGGACGTGTGACTTCAAGAGCACAGAACCAAGGATATTAAGGTCGCATTCATATATACGTGTCACGTGTGTAATTTGAAAGCCCATTTAACCCTGTCATAATGAATGAAGCACATCTGCACATTTGTAATTTAAGTATTTTGTTGGCACCTTTTTTAGTAGATGTTATACAGGCAACCTGATGATCAGAACAAGGACATGGTCAAAGTATTTAAATCCTAACAGAGAAAAAGCTACGTTCTGCTACAATTTTACAACACAATTATGTGTCACGTGTTTCATCTCTGTTCTGGTGTTATGTAGAGGAGAAGTTTGATTTAACTTCATTACAGAATGACAATGCAGATGTTTACTCCTGAGCTACCCCATATAGCCTTTATTGAAATCAGTTGTATCCATTGTCCATATGGATTGTGTCATGCAGGTTTTAACGATCATACTATATTGAAAATGTAAAAATTCCAAAGAAATTCAAAGCCGCCTTGTTGAACTTTGTTTATAAAATCATTTGGTTTTAATAATGCACCAGTGCTGCACCTCTGTTATGATGGCGTATTTATTTTAGATTTATCTAGTATGACCTGTTCCAAGAGAATTTGTTTAGGTTGGACCATTAAAACTACCAAAAAGCTGAAGAAAAATAGCTCAAACACCGACCATTACATATTTATGTAGGTGAGCTTTGTGACTTCATAGCACTGAGATACTATGCAGCATCATAAGCATGGTTACCTCCCCTCCAGCACTTCACCTTTCTGTGTAATGAGCTCACTTTGTTTACCAGCATTAAATATTCAGCAAAAGTGCTCATTTTTGTTCACAGATGTCATAAAAAAGTAACTCAAAAATGCTCCCCCATGCCTCACATACATGGTCTACATATGTGAAGCTCAGCTGTGATGTTACTCATGAATATGACTTTAATTTAATTTTGGTTCCTTAAGATTTTATGCACATCAAGTGATTTCAATTTGATCTCCTTGTAATAATGTAGTTTAGAGCATTTGTTTCTGTAGTTGTGAGAACATCAGTCGTTTTATTTTTAACGGACCTGATTCCCTGTGTGACGTTTGTTTGAGCTTGTGCATATGATTTTCCCATCTGCCCTTTGGCTATTTGACATCAGTAGATTTTGTACTGTGGAATGTGTAAAATTTGTTTGGCCCATTAAACAATTTCTCTTTTACCACCAGATGCAGTGTGAATTTTCCCACGTTTGTATTTTTACTCAAGACTAGGACTGGATTAAATATTCATAACTCTTTAGAGAACACATAAGCTGTTTATTGATGTTACAAATGGATATACAGCATTTCAAACAAACCATACAGCATTGAATATAGTAAGAATTATTAGATACTGAACCCGATGCACTGCACATTTGACAGGAAAAGAAACAAGGAATTTTGCCACACATTGTATTATAGCTCTTTAGTACTGTAAATTCATGCTAATAAAATAGTGTATATTAATATCTAAACAAATACTAAAAATACTCACCACTTGAATGATCTGCTATATAATTGATAGATAAAATAGAAATAAGTAAATGACAGCTAAATAATAAAGAATTTAAATTTTAAAAAGTGTAACATTTATCAGATTTTTGATATTTTTTTCTCTCTCGCTTTTCTCTTTTTCCTCTTTCCACCAAAACAACCATGTTTCCAATATTCCAAGTAACAAGTACTTGGAGTGTTATCTACCAGCAGCAGGATTTATACTGCATCTAATTCACCCTTTGACTCAGAAAACATGCTAACCTAGTGTATAATGATGTTACAGAAAAAATGCCGGTACCTTTTATAAGGGTTTGAAGCGGATTAAACATCTACATCTCTTATACTATGAAGCCATTTAATGCTCAAGCCCAAACAAAAAGAGCCGGACCCAAGATCAGATGATGTTTACAAATGGTAGTAATACAGTGAATCTATGCACTGGGTAGTCAAGATGTATTTTCAGTCCTGATAAGGTTTCTAACTTTTTCTAAGTGAGATTGAAAATATTGCAGCCTCATGCACATGCTGTATCCAAGAGCTTGTTTAAAAGAACAAACACTAATGATTCATTTCTATAAGCTGAATGATTCACACAGCTTCTCGAATAGGTTTCACAGGTTCTCTATTATTAAGCTAGTGAAGCTAGTAAAATAAAAGCAGACTGGTGACTTACATGTAACTGTTTATATACTTGCACTATAGGGTTCAAGCCCCTAAACGTGTTTAAAGATGCATTTAGCATCCTGATGACATCCCATATTTAACAGCATGAAAACAATTCCTACAAGTACAGTATATGCATAAAATAACCAAACCTTAATGTCACGGAACATATGTCATATTTCTGTATTGCATACAATACTACAAGAAGGTATAGTTAAAATATTAAAATATAATGTGTACTAATGTGTATTATATAAATATGTATTATAATAAATATTGTGTTTTAAATATTGAGTGTGGAAGTCTCTTTGAGCACAGCCACTCCATACATGCACATAATAATATTGCTGTAATTTAATTTATATTTCTCCAAATAAATCAATATATAAATATAATGTTATTATCATTTATATTATTATTTATATTATATCATATTTAAATAGTTTGGCTTCCGCAGCTGAGATATAATAATAATAATAATAATAATAATAATATCAATTATTATTATTATTATTATTATGAGTAATTCCAGTGCTTTATAAGCTGGTGAGGTCGACTATGGCTTTAATAAATATGGTGTCATCTCTCAGATATGAGCTTTTGCCTGCCAGCTTGGCTAGAGGGCAGAAGAGAGGACAACCACTGGCTATGTTCATCTCACTGATGGGTCTCTGGAAGGATGTGGAGCTCACGTCAGGCCTAAAAGCATCAATGATGTGCTCTCTGTTGTTTTGGTCCAACAACATCAATGTCACCTGGAAGGAAAGAACATGAGAGTGCCAGGAATTACAATCCATGTGATGCCAAGCTCATGTTCTGAAAGCCTGTTTCACACTGGATTGCGTAAAGCAGTAAGCAGAGTGGAGGCAGCACAGGAGCTGTTTGCATGCAGAGCAGGAGCAGCATGCCTTCACACTGACAGCTGAACTGCAGTGTACTGCAAATACAGAGGAGTATCTTCCATTGGGTTTTTCAGGTGTTCTCCTCTGACCACGTGCTTTTAGTGATGGGCAGCATATTTTGCTGTGATGCGAACGTGTTCCCTTCCTACTGTCCCGCACAGATATGCATACAACATGCTGTGTATATGTAGTTTACATGAGAAAAGTAATTTTTACATTATAAAAGTTTTAATCCTTTAAAACAGGCCATTGAAGTTTGGTCAAAAACTCCTGCCAATGATGAGTTTTCATGCATTTTAATTTTGTTTTTTATTCACATCATATCAGTCATATGGTGATTGTGAAACACGGAACACCGCTTTTTATGGTGAATTTGTTCGTTTTCATGGCAACTGAGGTCTATTTTAACCAAGAACAATCCACTGTGGCTTTAATTCAGTGTGAGCGGTGCAGCAAAGACGATCACAGCACTGCAACTTCTGCTTTGCTCCTGCTACGCCGGCTTTGCATGCGGTGTAAATGCTCTAACCTGTTAAAATAGGCGCAGAAAAAATATGCGCTGCTTACGCTCCGCTTATGCATGCGGTGTGAAACAGGCCTAAAAGTAGCGCTGGGACAATAAATTGATGCATCGCAAATCGAGAAATGATTCTGCATTGATTCTGAGATTTTCCGAAGGCATCGTGATTCTCTCTTGAATCGATTCTGAGCTTAGTTTTTAACACCAGATGGTACTGCGTGATTTAGAAATAGCCGTATTCTGCTTGCTTCCAGTTCCTTACACACGCACCACTTGCACCTAAAATAATCATTCATAAAGTTCAAAAAGGCTGAAGCGAATTACAAGGATGTTCACACAGTGGGCTGTGTTTACATTGATCTCACATAAAAGCATAAAAGCCGATGTGAAAGTACATTTAAACACTTACATTACTCAGCCAAACGTACAAGCGCTCTTCTTCATGAGTATTTGAGTGTGTGCCTGTGCGGTTAAAAACTAGCATAGAGCGCCATCTCCTGTTAAAAACTAAGCTCAGAATCCATTCGAATGAGAATCATGATGCATTCCGAAAATCTCAGAATCGAATCGCGATGCATCAATTTATTGTCCCAGCCCTACCTAAAAGATGGTGTAGTTAGACACTTCGCATACTTGCTATAAAAATAATTGTAAATTAAGCACAATTACAAGTAACTAACTATAAACCAAACCCTACAGCAAGTACATGTAGCTATAATTACATGTAGTGTAAATAATATTTCTGCTGAAGTGTAGGCCTACCCTGTAGCAACATCACCCTAAAATGGTAACGTCTCGTTATGTTACGTAATGGTAACATTACATACGGTAACCCTCGTTCCTTGAAGGAGGGAATGGAGACATCACGTCCCGTCGCCATAGCTTCTGTACCACCGCTGAGCAGCCGGGTTACCGGCTCGGCTCCTCAGCAAAAACCTGAATATGCGCTGCACCAGCTGCCTACTTATACTCACGTTGTGATCAGGATGACCGACGAATTGGGATCTCGCTTAGAGAGACCAATTCACTTAGAGTGTAAACTAAACGAGCCCATGCACATTGGCATGCAATTATTGCATCCAGCTGTCGCTGATCACAGCGTGAGTAGGCAGCAGCTGGTGCAGCGCATATTCAGGTTTTCGCTGAGGAGCCGAGCCGGTAACCTGGCCGCTCAGCGGTGGTACAGAAGCTATGGCGATGGGACGTCTCTGTTCCCTCCCTCATGGAACGAGGGTTACCATACGTTACAGAGACGTTCCCTTTCAGTCGGTCGCTCTCGACGTCACGTCGGATGACCGACGAATTGGGATCCCTACCAAAGGGCCATAGCTACTGCCCCTTCCAGTGTCCTGTGGAAACCTCCTGCGCCCCTACTTTTTGGAGCAGGCCAGGGCTTACCACAAAAAGACCAGCTACTGCTGCTATGGCACTACCCACTCAGTAAGACTGGATAACACTGGGAAAACGTACCCGTACCACTGGGAACAGGGACGTTGCGGAAGCCCCATCCTTCTCGAAGGAGGTTTCGGAAGCACGTACACATATGAACAACTGTTTAGGCGCATATGGAAGATTAGAGGTGATTGTAACCCTCTTGGAAAATAGCAGGAAGTCTGCCGGGGAAACACAGGCTCTGAGGCTACACCGTGGACTTTACACATATGGGATCCACTTAGGTCTCTACATATAGACCCCAGCCCTCTACCAGTTCTCACGGATTCATCAAGTGAGGGCCTGGCGACGGACGCTCTGCCACGTCTGGCTGTCGAGGGGATGAAGGACAGGGTCTACAATATGGACTCTCTGGAGCGGTTTTAGCAAGCCGACTCATCCTCTGCTTAGAGACGGCATTCCCCTTCTGCTGGCCTCCATGACAGACAAAGAGCTGGTCTGAGGTCCTGAAGCTTTGTGTCCGGTCTACGTAGCATCTTAATGCTCTAAAAGGACAGAGCAAAGCTAGGGCTGGGTCTGCCTCCTCCGGGGCCGCGCTTGCAGGCTCACCACCTGATCCCTGAAGGGAGTAGTGAGAACCTTGGGCACATAGCCGGGCTGGGGCCTCAGGGTTACCTGGGAGTCAGCCGGCCCAAACTTTAGGCACGACTCGTCGACTGAAAATGCGTGCAGGTCCCCTTGATGGAGGCCAATGCAAGCAGGAGCAAAGTTTTCATTGACAGAAACTTTAGCTTGACTGTCTGCAAAGGCTCAAATGGGCCCTGCTGTATTGCTCTGAGCACTAGAGTCAGGTCCCAAGAGGGTATAGAGGGGGGCCGTGGAGAATTTAGCCTTCTCGCCCCCCTAAGGAACCTGATGATCAGGTCATGCTTCCCTAGCGACTTCACTTCTACGGGGTCGTGGTTAGCAGCAATCGCAGCGACATAGACTTTAAGGGTGGAGGGAGACAGCCTTCTCTCCAACCCTTGCTGCAAGAAGGACAGCACGACTCTGACCGGGCATCTTCGGGGGTCTTCTCGGTGAGAAGAGCACCACTCGACGAACAGGTTCCACTTCAAGGCGTAAGCGTGTCTTGTAGAAGGTGCTCTGGCCGAAATGATGGTGTCAATTACCTCTTGGTCCGGGTGGGCCAATAGGGCGCCACTAACAGGACCTGCTCCTCGTCCTCCCTGACCTTGCACAGTGTCTGTGCTAGAAGGCTCACTGGGGGAAACGCATACTTGCGCAGGCCCCGCGGCCAGCTGTGTGCCAGTGCGTCCGTGCTGAGTGTTCCCTCGGTCAGGGAGTAAAACAACTGGTAGTGAGAAGTTTTTGGAGTGAGTTGCGAGTTGCGACGGGAGCGTAGACCACCTTGTCGGTTGATGTACACAACGGTCGCAGTGTTGTCCGTACGGACTAGTACGTGCTTGCCTCGTAAGTGCCCTTTGAGACAGCTCAAGGCAAGGCGCACTGTCAGCAACTTGAGGCAATTGATGTGCCAGTGCAGTTGGGGGCCCGTCCAAACCCTTGACACTGCAAGCCCATCGAACGTGGCCCCCCAGCCGGTGACTGAGGCATCCGTGTGAACCACAGCATGCCTGGAGACCTGTTCTAGGGGCACTCCTGCCCAGAGAAATGCCAGGTCTGACCATGGGGTGAAGGTTTGGCGGCAGGCCGGTGTGACTTGGACCCGGTGAGTGCCGCGTTGCCACGCCCACCTCGGGACTTGGCCATGGA